GGGTAGTAATAAAGGGTAGTAATAAAGGGTAGTAATAAAGGGTAGTAATAAAGGGTAGTAATAAAGGGTAGTAATAAAGGGTAGTAATAAAGGGTAGTAATAAAGGGTATTAATAAAGGGTAGTAATAAAGGGTAGTAACAAAGGGTAGTAACAAAGGGTAGTATTAAAGGGTAGTAATAAAGGGTAGTAATAAAGGGTAGTAATAAAGGGTAGTAATAAAGTGTAGTAATAAAGGGTAGTAATAAAGTGTAGTAATAAAGGGTAGTAATAAAGGGTAGTAATAAAGTGTAGTAATAAAGTGTAGTAATAAAGGGTAGTAATAAAGGGTAGTAATAAAGGGTAGTAATAAAGTGTAGTAATAAAGTGTAGTAATAAAGTGTAGTAATAAAGGGTAGTAATAAAGGGTAGTAATAAAGGGTAGTAATAAAGGGTAGTAATAAAGGGTAGTAATAAAGGGTAGTATTAAAGGGTAGTAATAAAGTGTAGTAATAAAGGGTAGTAATAAAGGGTCGTAATAAAGGGTATTAATAAAGGGTAGTAATAAAGGGTAGTAATAAAGGGTAGTAATAAAGGGTAGTAATAAAGGGTAGTAATAAAGGGTAGTAATAAAGGGTAGTAATAAAGTGTAGTAATAAAGTGTAGTAATAAAGTGTAGTAATAAAGGGTAGTAATAAAGGGTAGTAATAAAGGGTAGTAATAAAGGGTAGTAATAAAGTGTAGTAATAAAGGGTAGTAATAAAGTGTAGTAATAAAGGGTAGTAACAAAGGGTAGTAATAAAGTGTAGTAATAAAGGGTAGTAACAAAGGGTAGTAATAAAGGGTAGTAATAAAGGGTAGTAATAAAGTGTAGTAATAAAGGGTAGTAACAAAGGGTAGTAACAAAGGGTAGTAATAAAGGGTAGTAACAAAGGGTAGTAATAAAGTGTAGTAATAAAGTGTAGTAATAAAGGGTAGTAATAAAGGGTAGTAATAAAGGGTAGTAATAAAGGGTAGTAATAAAGTGTAGTAATAAAGTGTAGTAATAAAGGGTAGTAACAAAGGGTAGTAACAAAGGGTAGTAATAAAGGGGTAGTAATAAAGGGTAGTAATAAAGGGTAGTAATAAAGTGTATCAGACGTTAAAACTATGTAATGTTTCTTTGTTTATGTTTTTAATCAGACTCCTGGTAAGAACAAATATCTTTCTTAAAGAGGTTGTAAAAAGGTTTTCTAAATTTTGTATGTGTATTAGGGACAAGGATAGAATGAATTTGTACCATTCCAATTTTCTAGCAATTCTACTAAAACTAAGTGTTTTATGACGTCATCCCACAAAGGTCTTATGTGACACAAGAAAATTTGGCAGGGGAGACTTCATTAAACATTTATGAACACTTGCTTCCCGCAAGAGGTGTCAGAAAAGGTACCACAGGGATAACTGGCTTGTGGCAGCCAAGCGTTCTTAGCGACGTTTCTTTTTGATCCTTCGATGTCGGCTCTTCCTATCATTGCGAAGCAGAATTCGCCAAGCGTTGGATTGTTCACCCACCAACAGGGAACGTGAGCTGGGTTTAGACCGTCGTGAGACAGGTTAGTTTTACCCTGCTGGTAGGGAACTCTTTACAAACTGGGGTTGAATTGTTCACCCACCAACAGGGAACGTGAGCTGGGTTTAGACCGTCGTGAGACAGGTTAGTTTTACCCTACTGGTAGGGAACTCTTTACGAACCCTTTACTTATAAAATATATATAATTAAATATAAACAACCCTGACAAAATACTTCAATATTGAAATGGTGCAAATCGATGATATTTAAAATTTGGAGAACCTCTTTACAATCTCTATAATAGAAAATAACATTGTTTGTTGTGAAGACAAGAGCAAAGTTAATTTAGATATTGATTGATTGATTGATTGGGTTGAAGATAAAAACTGCTGACTATAATAATACTATCTTATTTATTGAGTATAAAAACTTATTGATTTAGATCGGAAATTAACAAATAAATATGATTGTTATCTTCCTAATAAAACCTTTATCACAGAATAAAACTAATCAGCAAAAAGTAGATCATAGAATAAACCCAATAAATAAATCTTTAACTCCGATTTGAGTCGTCAGCAAAAACAAACAACTGTATCAAAACTTTGATAACAAAAAAACATTTTATTTTAACTCTGATATTTTTCTGCTCTACATGGCATAATCCTGAATATTATCTGATCCAATTTATTTTATGTCACTGGTAAATATTAATAGATAAATTATATAGCGTATATTTCCGAATATAATGCGTACCCCTTCCTTTTCCCATTAAAATCGGGAACAATCCATTTATCCTTGCATAATGCGCACCCCTTGTTTACGAAAAAATTGAAGTCAGAATTGGCACATCACAGACACCATTATATATCAGGTATTATTGGCCATATTGAAACTGAATTCCTGGTTTTCACTGACACATATTCCCCCCCTTTTGTTCTTATTGGTAGATATCACAGTTATAAAGCTTCATTCTATATTGATATTCTCTGAAGATAGAAATTATAATCTGGCTTATGGCTAGTGGAATAATTTATACAGTTAGTGGTTAGTTTAATTTCTTCCCTGAAGCTCTAGTTATTAGTACTATTCGTGTAATATGGTAATCTACATTGATAAACCATTCATTCATCCTCATTCACCATTCCTATATTTATAGTAATTCTAATATTGTAATCTGTATCATTCATTCATCCATTCAATTCACTCAATCCTTATTTTATTCATTCAGTGTCTAGTAAAGAAAACAATCATTTGAACTGAAGTAAGGATATTAAACTTGCTCATTCATTCATTCATTCATTCATTCATTCATTCATTCATTCATTCATTCATTCATTCATTCATTCATCTTGTTTATCATTCTATCCAGTAGGCTAGTATAATGAAACCAACTACTAGTACCGTACTGTTTATAATTATACCAAGAGTAAAGGAATGAGAAATCTTACTATGTGACAATATATTGATCTAATACTAATTCATACTCTCTCTACTTTAACATATTTCTTTCTCTCTACTGTTTCTATAACAGATTGGTTAGAATAGTATTGGACTAACTAAAACTATGTTTGTACTGTATTTCTGTTAACAGTTTTCTGGGAAGAGTACAGTAGATCAACTGACTAGAGTTTTAAGTCTCTCTGTTATTTCTATCTTAACATATTACTGGGAATAAATCTAAAGTTATACTGAAAAACTTCCTCAATAATAGAAACTGATACATTGTGATATTATTGTGACTGATACATTGTGATATATTATTGTGACAATACATTGTGATATATTATTGTGACAATACATTGTGATATATTATTGTGATAACTTGGAGGAAATGACTGGATATTAAACTGGATGTTAAATAGTTGGAACTGGTTTTAATGAGAATATAATTAAATAAAATACTGTGTTTGAGGTAATTATTACAGATTTATTACAGATCTGAGTTAGATTTTCTGAAAGAATTTCAGCTTTAATCTCATGTTATAGTGGTAAAGGATGTGAGATGTTAAAATACTAATTATAGAAGAATATAGTTAATATAACAGTGAAGTACATGAGGTAATATAAATTAAACTATGGGAAAATAACTTGATATCAGTCTGATGTCTGAAAATTGATTCCAAGACAATATAACAATATAATATACAAGAGGTCATTGTTATAGGTGTTACAGTAATAGAGGTTATCATATTGATTTGGTTTTTCATTGAGTTTTTTGGGGAAGAATGGGTTTCTACAATCTATTTCTTTAATTCTTACAGGCTTAATATAAGAATAGATGATCAGTGTTTGGGAGAGTTCATTGGCTTAATATAAGAATAGGTGGTCAGTGTTTGGGAGAGTTCATTGGCTTAATATAAGAATAGGTGGTCAGTGTTTGTGAGAGTTCATTGGCTTAATATAAGAATAGGTGATCAGTGTTTGTGAGAGTTCATTGGCTTAATATAAGAATAGGTGGTCAGTGTTTGTGAGAGTTCATTGGCTTAATATAAGAATAGGTGATCAGTGTTTGGGAGAATTCATTGGCTTAATATAAGAATAGGTGATCAGTGTTTGTGAGAGTTCATTGGCTTAATATAAGAATAGGTGATCAGTGTTTGGGAGAGTTCGTTGGCTAAATTAAAACTAGGTTTTGTTTCTAGTTTATTTATATAATCATGTAGTGATCAATAGAGGATATTGTTTATAAGAAATATTGTTTGTTTAATTCCTATAATAATTAAACTTATTAAACTACGACAGTTTAAAGTGTGATGATACAAGGTCAAGGTCAGTGTATATTGATTTAAATTGTCAATCTGTTTAACGTGTTTTATTTATTCTACCACTATACTACTCTATCTTAGTTAGATAGTTCTTATAATGGTGGGCGGTGATCAATGGATGCTAGGATTTCTTTGGTTTGATATTTTTCATTTATAATAACTGATTTCTTATCTCTGATAGTTTCACAGGTAAGAGGGGCTGACATGTGTCTTGTAGTTCGGATGGGACAATAGACCGAGACCCCGAGTGCTACCGTCTGTACACTTAAAGATCCCTTGACAGTTGGAAATCGAAAAAGAGCAGGCTAATGCCGCTGTCCTGGCAAAATTTCCCTCATTGTACACTGCATGGGGTTGCCTGTCTTCATTAGAACTCATGATGCAGAAAAGTAGTGATGTAAAACTCCAGTTCATTTCATTTCAATTCTGATAGTTTAAATACTGGATAGTTATCAACAGATGATTATTTGGTTCAGCAATTGGTGGATGCTGGCAATTCTTTGATTTTGTATTTTTTCATTCATTATGACTACATCTGACTACATATTGATTCCATCAGTCGACATTCCTCAACAGTTGGATGGTTTTGATGAGTAAGTTGTTTTTATTTTTATTCTAAGTTTTAAAAACAATAGATTGAACTAGTTATTTGTAAGAAATAATGTTATTGTGAAATATTTTATCAGAACAATGAAAGATTTGATATAAAATGGTGGGTGTCAACTTGAACTGTTTATTGATTTGAATTATTAATGGTTTATTTTATTTTAAACATTGATTTTCGCCTACATGTGAATAAGAGTTCACATTATATTGCTGATACACATTTTAGATACACAATCCTCAACAGGAGAGCTTTCTTCATTAGACCACAACGTACAGAAAAATAGGACGTAAAACTCCATTCATTTCACTTCATTTTTTTAAGATTAACTTCAGACATCTGAAGGTTTTACAATTCTATACAGACCCACAGACATCTGAAGGTTTTACAATTCTATACAGACCCACAGACATCTGAAGGTTTTACAATTCTATACAGACCCACAGGCATCTGACGGAAAATTGGTAGGAAGAAATGGCCCAAATATAAAAGAATCTATCAAAGTAGCTGAGCATGTTAATTTTCAGGGTATTATTAATTTGTATTTCCAAAGTTTTGTCTTGTACTATACCCCACACACTCTCTGTACTATACCCCACACACTCTCTGTACTATACCCAACACACTCTCTGTACTATACCCCACACACTCTCTGTACTATACCCCACACACTCTCTGTACTATACCCCACACACTCTCTGTACTATACCCAACACACTCTCTGTACTATACCCCACACACTCTCTGTACTATACCCCACACACTCTCTGTATTATACCCTACACACTCTCTGTACTATACCCCACACACTCTCTGTACTACACCCCACACACTCTCTGTACTACACCCCACACACTCTCTGTACTACACCCCACACACTCTCTGTACTATACCCTACACACTCTCTGTACTATACCCCACACACTCTCTGTACTATACCCCACACACTCTCTGTACTATACCCTACACACTCTCTGTACTATACCCTACACACTCTCCTGTTCCATGTTAAACATTATATTAATTAGGATGATAATCAGTAGAAGACCAGGCTAATATTTTATATAGAGTGATATTGATCTCGTCAGAAAACAGACTAACAGAATAAATATTATCTACTATTAATAATGTTCAATTGGGCTGATTAATATAGACAACTCCATGCAGTGGGCAATGAGGAAAATTTTACTCCAGAGTGATTTTGCCACAAAACAGAATATTACATTAAACATTATGTACTGTTAAGTTAACTTTCTGTTTCTAATTGGACTACAGTGTGCTACAGACTGTGCTGGTAAAAGATCCCTTGACAGTTTGAAATCAAAATAGAGTAGAAGGTGCCAGTCTTTATTAACCTAATGAGGTGCAGTAAAGTATCTAGTTTTGGAAGCAGGACGTGATTGATTTTAGACATTGATTCAATTCTATTCCAGTTCAATTAAAATTAGCCTAAACATTTGTATTGTTTATTAACTTTTATATTTAAACATTGATTCAATCTATTCAGTTAT